AGATCAGGCCCACAGCCTAAATCTGACCTCGCTCATCCAGCTCAAGGGCTGAAAAGGTTGGGCACCACTCTGACTTTCCTCCAGTATGTAAATGTGTGTTCACTGAGAGATGAAACTAAAAAGAATGCTTCCCTGCTCCTTAGCCCCTGCTGTATTTCATGTGGTGCACATGTCGGTATGCACATGTCGATGGGTACATTAGAAGCATGTTATTGTTACCTCAGTTTTGTCCGAGTCATCAGTCCCCAATAACTCATCGTCTTCCTCTCTCCCAGTATCCTGCAGAAGACCGTGCTGTGTTTTGGGGTTTTCACTAGGCTCATCAACGCTTATTGTGGTGGCATCTGGGTTGACCGCCAGCAAATTAGCGGCATCGTCAAATTCTGCAAACAAGCATGTTATAGCAAAGGTTATTTTCAAGTGTAGAAGTTGTTGGGATTTTTAACCCGTTATTCCAAAAGCCCAGTTCTATGACTGTTATGGATTCCAAGGATACAGGATTTCTTACCACTTCGATAACGCCCAGTGGGCCTGAATGGACTAAGCAGAAAGTCCCTTCAGTTAATAAAATACTGTGCCTTCTTCCCAGCTAGGACTTCTCTTGGGCTAGGTAAACATCAGAGTCCTAAAGCTCGTACATCCAGCCATCAGTGTCCCAGGCAGACCTTTAGCAAGGCTAAGCACACGTATGAAAATCTGGCTGTGCAGAGCCAACTGTCCAACTAGACAGTAAGGATCAATCAGTAAAGATTAGCTTCTGACTGCATCCCGTGTGTTGAACACAGGTAAGAATTCACCAATTAACAACATTACTTGCAGGAGCAGGCTTAAGTTTATATTCCCAAGGATCCAAGGCAGAAACAACAAACACTTCAAAGGCTTTAAAAAGGTATCACTGAGGTTAATTCAGTCTCCCTTTACTGGCCCACACCCCTGACATTTCCAAATGCGGAGAGAGGTAGTTAGCAGAGTTAGTCTGAAGTCGGTCAGAAGGCAGGGTAAAGAGGCACCTTTACAGACTAATAAATCAGATATATATATATACAACAGGAGCTTTTGCGAACCCGAGCGCACTTTCATCCGATGCTGTGAAAAGACTGCACAGAGCAGAGCATAAATGCCTTCTGATAGTCTACCTTGAAACTTTAAGTCATCTACAGCCGCCATTCATTCACGAGGCTCTGCCGCCAGCATCCAGAACTTTGCAATATCTGAAAGAGCAGATCAGCCAAAAGTAATCACCTGAAATGAAGAAAATAAGCAACAGCCAACGTTAAAAGAAGGTGACCTCAGCCTCCTATACAGCAGGACCTGCCCTCTGCATTGAGTGTGTCCCGCCTTCCTCACTGGGTCCATCCCCTGGCTGGCATATGAAGGCTTGTCTGGAGCCCCAAAAAAAGCACAACCCTTGCAGCAGTTTCACCCTCAAACACAGCGATATGAGCCTGGAGTTGGTGGCAATTAAGATCCCATGCCGGAGAAAGCCGGTTGAACCTGAACAGAGACATAAACCTGGAGTGCGGAGCTGGTGCAATTAAAGAGAAGGCAGAGTAGATTTGTACCCTGCAGACTAACTAAGGTAGGCATCTAGGTATAGATAGAGATGATCCCGATATAGGCTCAGATGGTGCAGATACAAATATAGATGATAAAGATATAGGTGATACAGATGTGGATGATATAGATGACAGATATAGATGGTGCCGGCAGAAATATAGATACAGGTGATGTGTAGATGATGCAACTACATAGATGATACACATACAGATGATGCGGACACATATACAGATGATGCAGATGCAGCTATAGGTGATATGGATATAGATATAGGCGATACAGATACACGTGATGCTGATTTAGGTGATACAGATGCAGATATGGCTATAGGCGATATGGATATAGATATAGGTGATACAGATATGGATATAAGTGATATGGATATAGATATAGGTGATACAGAATTGGCTATAGGTGATATAGATATGGACACAGACACAGATTCTACGGATATAGGTGATGCAGATACCCATAGATATAGATACAGACGATGCATATATGGGTGATACAGATCTGGGTACTGATATAGGTGATATCGAGGCCGATGTGGATACAGGCGATACACATACAAATATAGATAGAGATGCTACAGAGGTGGCTCCAGGTGGTACAGAAGACACGGGTACGGAAGCAGGCGGTCTGGGTGCAGGTGTAGGCGACACGGCTCCCGGCGACGTACAGACACGGGTGGGCTGGGCTCGCGCAGGCACAGGCCCGGCGGGACGGACCCGGTCACACGGGCGCGGCGCCGCGCGCAGACGCAGACAGGACCCGGCTCCAGCAGCACCCGGGCGGGCTGCAGCCCCTCCCCCGCAGGGCAGCGAGGGGCAGCGACAGCGGGTCTGCGCCCGTTAAAGCGACACACACCGCTGGGCAGCGCCAGCCAATCAGGAGCGCAGCTCTCTGCGTCGCCCCCTCCCCTCTAGGCCCCCACAGAGGCCCGGAACGCCTTCTGGTAGCGCCAGCCAATCAGAGGTGTCGATGTATTCTTTTCTCTTCCGCTTCGTCCCATGCTCTTAAAGGGGCAGGTGCCTCCGGAGAGCGGCCGCTGGGGGCCGGCCTGGCGCTCCCTGTTAAAGGGACAGGACGCCCCTAAAAGATCTTAAAGAGACAGGACGCCCCTGGGCTCTTGCAGGAATAGGACGCCTTGCTTAGCTGGAGGCTGGGGGAGGGGCTAAGGCTCAGCACTGGCCCTGGGGAGCGGAGCAGAGGGGTGCAGCACTCAGCCCTGATCACTGGGAAGACGAAGGGGAGTTAGGGACTCAGATGGGAACTCGTCTTTTTTGCCTTTGAACCAGTGACTCTCAACCAGGAGCCGCAGCCCCCTAAGAGCCTGTCTGGGGTGCCCCAGGGTGCTGCGCAGGGCGGGCACTGCTGGTGTGCATACACCCCTCGCAGGACAAAGCTGAGCTTTCCAGGAGGAATCTACGGTGCTAGAAATGCGCTGCCCTGCTCTGCGCTGTCTGGGTTCTTCGCAACAGAAAAAAACCACACTTTATTATTTTTCTGTTGTCAAAAAAACCGAGCGAAAACAAAGAACTGGCATTTTCCAAAGGGAGCTACGAGACTAATGAAGGGGGCCTTGAATCTAAAAGAGGTGGAGAACCACTGATTTCAACCCTCTCTTAAAAGACATCTTCTGCCTCGTTGCCCAAGGATAGAAACTGCCACGTAGGCCCCAAAACAAGTCTTTTAAGAGTGTTTTAGGGATGAAAGCTAGGGACAGACATTCAAAAAGCCCGAGCTTGGATTCAACCTTTGTAGGTTAGTCTAACCCGCCTAGACTGAACCGATTTGCAAGTGAGCAGACATTCATTTTTGCTTCTGGATATGCAAGCACGTGCTTGCAGTGGCTCAGGTCAAAAGTGGGGGGCACTAGAGCAGCCCTCCCTTCCCTTCCATGAGGAAAGCTGAGCTGGGGTGGTGGGGAGCAGGGCCTTTCCCAGCTGGCTGTGGCTCCGTGACAGCCCAGCCTGGCACACGGGTGGCAGCTGGCTGGGCTGCGGTGCGGACATGACACCGCTGCAGCTGTGGGCAGGCACTTTGGCAGCAGGACTCACCATGTGGGACGTGTTAATCATGTCTGTGGCTGGCCGGGCCAGCTTGGAGGCGCTGGCAGGCCCGGAGCCCAGCAACCGCCCACCCCGGGGGCTTGCGTGTCTGCAGCTGCCACCGCTGAGCCCCCTGCATGGTGTGGACAAGCACAGCTCCTGTGGCCCCAGGCTGAGCTGTAGCCAGCTGGGAGGGGCCCTGCCTGGGCTGGCTCCTTCGCGCCCACCATCAGCAGCACTCATGGGCCGGCCCAGCTCAGCCCCCCAGCCCCAGTCTCAGCCGCAGGTGAGGCAGGGAGATGGTGGGACCATGTCAGCCAACTGCTCCTAGGAACACCCCCACCCCCCTGCCACTGTAGCAGCGAAGGGGGGTTACCCTGCCGCAGCCAGGTGGACCCTGGCTGTGGTCCCCAGGGGGAGAGAGGAGGGAGGAGGGGAATAAACCCCCTCCCTACCTCGTTAGCCTTAGGGGGGTACACCAGGCCGGCGTCTGGCCAACGCCTGCCCCTGCTCCGGCTGGAAACCAGAGGGGTGGGGTTAGCCCTGTTCTCTAGAGACAGCCCAGCCCAGGGCTGAAAAGCATGCTGGGATGCTGGAGGACTGTGGTTTAACTTGAACCAGGAAGGGGTCTGGGACAGAAGTTCCATAAACTGGTTTGACCCAAATCAGTTAAATCTGATACTACATTCAGCCAGGTGTATTTTAAACCTGTTTTGGCCATTTTGAAACTGGTTTATGGGCACTGAACTTATGTTCTGTTACAGTTTTAAATTAGTTTGTGATCAACTAGTTCCAGATTATTAAACCAGATTATGTGCAACTCTGTCCTTAGCCTAAAAGTCTATCAGGACTTTTCTTTCATCTCTAAAGCTAGATGGTCAGGAAACATCAGTAAGGGTGGGTGAGGGCAGAAGGAATGTTTTTTGGCCGGCTGAGTCCAAAAAAATGCCAAAGCTCCATATCTCATGGTATCTGCTGAGCACACACAGCCTTGACTGATTAATTAATACTGTACAGTGCTTTGAAAAAGGTAAAATGCTGCACAAAATGCCAGTCCTGAAAAACATAGTCTCATATCTGAAGCAGAAGTCAGTTTAAGTGGGGCTTCTCCTATGATCAAAGATTAGCGTGCTCATATTTGCAAGATTGGGCCCAAAATTGCTATGAGCTTTATTGTTCCAGACAGGCATCCAGGTTGTAGCCAGTTCTCTCATGTGTAATGCACACAACTCACCAGGAATAAGCCCTACTTGTGGATTAATGCAATTATCAGCCATAAAACATCCTTGCTTCATTCAGATTTTGGCTGGTAGACAGAAGACCCAAAGTAGTGATCAATATTCTGTTCTTACTAATACCACTCCGTGCATTGGTGTCAGGGGGCACATTAGGGACGTAAAGATTAACCAAATTCTGCCCTATTATGTAAATGACTTTCCTATCCCTCTCCCCTTAGCCTCATGTCCCCTCCTCCTTTACCTTTGCTCAGATTCTCTTACTGTATTTTGAAGCAGTCAGAATAGCTCTGCGAAGATGTTCCGAATGAGGGTATTTCTACAAAAAGTCTGGATCCTTTTGTACATGTGCCTGTGCACTGCTATTGGTAAAATACTGATGATATTGTTCCCAGAAGCTGTGAAAAGATACATTCTAAAACTGGGGCAGAAGAGCAGCATAGTCAGGAATTCAAAGTTCAGCTATGAGAACTGGGGTCCGACTTTCTTTAGCTTCAAATATTTGCTCTTTGTGTTGAAAGTGAAGTGGAAAAGGCTGGAGGATGAAGCATTTGAGGGACATGCGGCTCCCAACACCCCGGTAGTGGACCTGGAAGGTAAAGCTCATCACATCTTGGATTTCATGCAAGGTGAGTGCATTCAGACGCGCAAGTTGCCCCCCATGGAAAAGAAGGGAAAGGTAAAGAAGGTAAATGAAATAGAGGGTATAGTCAAACTGCCTAAAATAAGCTAAGGAGCTGGGAATTGGGGTGATCTGAGGGTTCACTTACAAATAATGTGCGTGTCAGTTTAGATTATCTATCTGTAGTGATTTGTTCGGTAGAAAAGATTGGTCACATTCATGCCGTGTACACAGAGTGACAGCTTTAGAAAGCAATCTGTGTGTCTGTCTTTTATACTACACTATTATTCTTCTGTAAAGCATCTAGCTATTAAACTTGTGACCTTCTGCCATGGCTTTCTGTATGGGGAAATACCTCTCGTCATGGTGAAAGCAGCAGAAAATGTAACCAAAACCTCCCCAGGTACCTCTCCGCTGCTTACCAGCTACATTCATTCCCCTCCTTGTGCAGCCTGTCTCTCACCCACTGACTCCTCAATTTACATCTTCACTGACTGCCTTTCTTGCATGCATCCCAGCCTCTGGCTTCTTTACTATTCACTCCATCCAGGAAGAGCACACACCAGCTGCGGATGCTTCCTCAGCCTCACAATGGGTATTTATACCCAAAAGCTTGTAAAGAAAGTTTTTTCAACTATTTGAGTTGGTCTAATAAAAAATATCAGATTTACCCAAAGAACCTTATGTGCCTATGTCCTTAGACCAACACGGCTACAACTATATACGCCTGTAACCAGAACCAGGCATTTTACAACTTCTGTATATTGTTAGGCAAAGTGAGCAATGTTCTGACACCAAGATTACTAACCAAACTAAAGTCCAGAATGTTCTTATAGGTCCCAGCTCCCAAATGGCCAGAAGTTTTATTCAGAGGTAAAAAATGGTTTGTACTTTGTTTGGTTTGTACTTTGATCTCTATAGAACACATTATCAATCATTAAGCTGTACTCTCCAGTCTCCATAATGTTATTCAGAACTTAAAAAAAAAAGTCAAGGAAAATTTCCAAATGGACATAGCGTGGTTTGCATACCAGATCAGCATGCATGATATTTATTGGGAGCTGCATCCAAAGCTAGATGTTTGGAATGGAATTATTATTTTCGGATTAAGCATTACAGGTAGGAATATCTTGAACAAATTCGGGAGCGTTGGCTGAAAGACATGTTTTTAAGTCCTTGAAAGCCCTCCGGTCGAGGCCCTGCAAACATTTATGTGGAGGCTTATAGCAAAGTATCTGCATGCTTATGCAAACAGGATGTTAAACCTGAAGCAATGTTTATTTGTGTGGCTTGCACAGCACCTGTTTAATGAATAATACTAATGAATAACCACAGTTCTGTCTGAGCGTTCCCAAACCATACTGAAATCATGAACACCTAGAATGTATTACCAAACATATCACCAAGTTTTTCAAACTGCATACCAATAGTATGGGTCCTACATCTGAATATAGACCACTAAATACAAAGGTCAGATTTTCAGAAATTCTGAGGTCTGCATCTTCCACTTAAATCAGCTAGAGTTGTGGGTACTCAAAATTTATGACAATCAACAAGATCCCTAAAAATAGGTTTGCAAACCTCATTTCAGGTATTGGACGTAAAAAATGTGGTCCTTTGTGCTTTTTTCACTTTGAAAAATATTCTGCATGAAGAACATTCAGGATAGTATGGGGTTGTTTTTTTTTTAATTCTTCATACTAATGTGTTGTACAGTAGCAGCCAGAAATTTAGCAGACTGCAGACCAGTAGCACTAGATACTGAACATACAATCTTGAAACAGTGACTTGGCCCCAGATGTTTACAGTGCAAGGTTTCGATCCTACAATGAACTTGGTGTGGACACACACCTATGCCATAATGACTTCAGTGGAACTTTGTGTGGGTATGGGGTCCCTTTATTGGAGGACTGGATTTTAAATGCCTAACAATATACTTCATGTCTGTCTTAGGCAACAGACCTTTAGTCCTGAATTTTGGAAGCTGCACCTGACCTTCATTTCTGTGGAAATTTGACGAGTTCAACAAGCTTGTCGAAGATTTCAACCCTGTAGCAGATTTCCTTTTAATCTACATTGAAGAAGCTCATGCAACAGGTACAGTACAGAGAGCAACTTAAAACAATACAAAAAACATACAACTTAAAAGTTATCCCCTTTTCCAAGTACTACAACTGACCCGATGTTACATGGGCTAATGAGTCCCTCTGTGATTATAGCTGATACTTATAAAATTAGAATTTCAAGTCAAATCAGTTGCCATCTTTCATTGTAAACCTACTAGCGGTATATAAAAATGTATGAAACTATAATGTTTTTCAGTATGACACTGTAACTCATAAGGGGTGGCTTCCAGTGAATGCAAGAGCAATGCCCCATGGTCACCCTAAGGATGTATATCAAACAGGAGCAGCAGAGCAATCATAAAAATGAACTTAGTATGTTTCCATCTAACAACCTGGCAGCATTTTGCAAAGACGAGTATTACCATCATCCCTACATTCCAGATGAGGAAAAAGGCGTTTATAAATTAAGGTCCGTGTTTTTAGAAGTCTCTGCTAATCATTCTGCTTAACATAGCATCCCGATTGTCCTGACTTTAAAAAGTTCTCAGGATTCAAAGGACCCATTGATTGAAACAAAAACTGTAAGCACTCATATTGCTTTGATTATCAGATTGTAGGCATCTCAAATCAAGCGTACAAAAACTGAAGGATCCAAAATTGTGTGGACACTGGTGGAAAAAATAGGGCTAAATAACACTTTATAGTTTCATAGTTTGTAGGGTTGGAAGGGACCTTGACAGATCATCAAGTCCGATCCCCTGCCATGGCAGCAAAGAGTACTGGGATCAAACAACCCCAGCAAGGTGTTCATTTAGCCTCCTCTTAAAGACCCCCAGGGTAGGTAGGAGCCAGCACCACTTCTCTTGGAAGTTGGTTCCAGATCCTAGCCACCCTGACAGTGAAGTAGCACCTCCTGATGTCTAGCCTGAATCTACCCTCTGCCAGCTTGTGACTGTTATTTCTTGTCACTCCTGGGAGCGCTCAGGGGAACAGGGACTCTCCCAATGCCTGCTGGTCCCCCCTGACTAGTTTGTAAACGGCCACTAGATCCCCCTCAGCCTTCTCTTGTGGAGGCTGAACAGGTTCAGGTTCCGTAGCCTCTCCTCGTAGGGCCTGCCCTGCTGCCCCCTGATCATGCGAGTGGCCCTCCTCTGGACCCTCTCCATCTTGTCCACATCCCTCCTGAAGTGCAGCGCCCAGAACTGGACACAGTACTCCAACTGCAGCCTGAGCAGTGTCACATAGAGGGGGAGGATCACCTCCTTGGACCTGCTTGAGATGCATCTGTGGATGCATGACAAGGTACGGTTGGCCTTCCTGACCGCGTCCCCACACTGCTGGCCCATATTCATTTTGGCATCAATAATGACTCCAAGATCCTTTTCTGCCTCTGCACTGACGAGAAGGGAGTTCCCCAGCCCGTAGGTATGCTGCTGGTTCTTCCTCCCCAGGTGCAGCACCTTGCACTTGTCAGTGTTGAAACCCATCCTGTTCTCATCCGCCCACCCCTGTACCTGTCTAGGTCTGCTTGCAGCCTAGAGAGAGTTTTACATAGAAAGCTAGTGGCATAGCTGGTTTGCCTCTTATTGTAAGCTTCCTTGAGCCTTTGTTAGTGTGTAAATGTAATAAATAAAGAAATACATAAGTAAATAAAATTAAGATTCCAAACTTTTGTGCCTTTACCTTCTGGAACAGAATGCCCAACCTCTGTCACAGGTGCCACAAGTGGCATGGGCACCCTCTGTATGGCATGCGGCAGATCAGGGAGGGGACTGCCAGCATGGTGGCAGATAGGGCAGGGAGCTGAAAGAAGAGCAATAGATTGGTCTGAGGAAGGGGATCAGAGTGGCACCAGGGAAGGTTGTGGGGCTAATTTGTGGCACACCTGCCAAAAAGGTTGGTCCCCACCGTCTGGAACATGGACTTAAGTTTAGTGGAGGGTAGCCTTGGTGGCAGGGGACTTTTGCCATGCTCAGGAACATTTGTCCCGATTTGACTGAGTCACAAGGCTTTATATAGAGTCACGGTGACACAGGAGCAAGACAGACTTAGATTTTAGCAGTTAAAATTCCACAAAGATCCTATGTGCACTGGGCATAATCCAGCCCAGGGACAGCTGAACTTTCTCTGCAACTCCAGCTCTGGGCTGCTGTCAATAATGTATCATATGTATCATTATGTTAACTCTATCATAATGCATGCACACGAGGGCACTGAATCAATGCTGCGTGAGCAATTTAATGATGGCATTTCCTCACTTGTAAGTATGTTGCTTTGCAATCTAATACTATTCTTTTGATGGAATACGTTTTGCTTATAATGCTAGTTCTATTTTACACACACGTAACAGATGAAAAATCCCCATTTATTTGCCTTTTTTGTTTTAGACGGATGGGCTTTTAAAAATAATATTGTTATTAAAAATCACCAAAACCTTGAAGATCGAAAAATGGCTGCACTGTTTCTTCTGAAAAAGAACCCCTTATGCCCAGTTGTTGTGGATACTATGGAAAACCTCAGCAGCTCAAAGTATGCTGCTCTCCCAGAAAGACTTTACCTGCTTCAAGGAAGAAAGGTTGTTTATAAGGTAATGAACTTTGAGCATGTTATACTGAGGTTTTAATTTCTAAAATGCCCAGTGGCATATTTTATAATTAGAAGAATAATAGTTTTCATTATGTCCCATTTCTTCTTTAAGCACCTTATTCACAGAAAATGATTAGCAACACACAAAATTGGCATGCTGTATATTTTTTATAGAGCGTTTTGTTTCTGCCTAAAGATTTACTCTAGATGTTTTTAAAGCCTGTTGAGCACAGGATTGAGAGCAAGCAAAACTCTCCATTCCAATTCCATCTCTATTCTTACCTACGCATCTCTGAATTATATAGCATCTAAAATGCAAGTCTGCCCTGTCTTCTGCCCGACTTTTCCAATATGACTATTTCTCTCTGTCCTTACCTTGTTGGTTGGCCCTAATCTCTGTGTAACAGTTTACCCAGCAGTAAAAGGAGCACTCTGAGGGTGTCATGAACCCTTTTATTGTATTTCAAGATATTTAGTGTCTATTATTATCATCTGGTAACTGGAGACTATTCCTGTTCAAGTTCTGTTTAATTTAAATTATCTTTAAAGGGGTTAAGGATATACATTCTATCTTTCTAGTCTCAGTATACAACTTTGAAAGGATAAGCTTAAAACTTCATTTACTATCTAAGAGACAGTCTCTTAAGTTTGTATCCAAGATTGTAGGTCACATTTCCTGTTGTGGTGTTTCTGCTTGGTGCAGCAGAAAGGGTGACCATCAAGCAGCCACTTATGACTCTCCAATTACCTACTCAGCTCTGACTATGAAGTTGCCAACTCTGAACTCAGTAGGGTATCAGCATCCTTGCAGTAGATCTGAGGGATACTTTATGTTTCTATTTACTTTACAGGGTGGAGCAGGACCTTGGAATTATCACCCACAGGAAATACGGGCAATCCTGGAAAAACTCAAATAGGCGACCAAAACAGAGGTCACAAGAGTGAAGTGGTTCACTGAACAGCTTGTTATTGGTTAATTTAAAAAAAATGTATGTGGAGTGGTTTACTTAAAACAGTACAGAAATTAGAAATTAAAATGAAAGCATAAACCTACCTAGAAACACAAGAAAATGAGAACTTGGTTAATCAGATATTGAATTACACCTTAGCTATTTGATTTTTTGATTAACTAGGATGGCACAGAAATAAAATCCTAATCTCACCAAAATCAATGGACTGGCTTTCACTGGACTAGACCTTAAAGCCACATCTACACTGCGTCAGGATAGCAACCTGGGAATGCCATATGGATGGACACCACATGCATTGTGTATACCAGGGGTAACTAACCTGGACCACAAGTGGTCCAGGAAGCCTCTGTGTGTGACACAGCAGATTGGGAACGGGACACGAAGCACAGCTGCAGAAAGGGCAGGAAACAGAAAACAGAAGTATATCAGGCAGGGAACAGAAAATAGAGCAGCAGATTAGACAGGGAGCAGAGTAGGGAGCAGTGCAACAGATTAGGCACAGGAAGGGGATCAGAGTGGCACTTGGGGAGAGGGAAGGGCTAATTTGTGGCACGCCTGCCAAAAAGGCTGGCCTCCACTGCTGTATACTAACTTCCATTTTCAAAGGTGGCACATTGCCAAGTGAAGAAAGAACATGTAATTTTCATCAAGCAGTTTATACTGTTAAGTGATAAGGCCATTTGTACAATGGTGCTCAACCTATAAACTGTATTTATGGTAGTGTGCGACTTAAACACATGTCATTACTGCAATCTATATTACTCTTTTAGAATATTGTCTATAATGTGATGTACATGGTATATGCACTGATGAATATTAGGAACCCTTATAGCTACATTGCTCTGTACATTTTTTAAGAACTTTAATGAAGGAATAACTACAGGATATTATTAATTTCAATAGGATTTACACACAACTACAACCATACAAAGTATATTGAACATGTAAGGGGCAAATACTAAGGTATTCTGGTACCCATATGTTAAGATAAATATTCATCATCACAGCAATGACCCAATGTGTTATAACTAGATAGTGACATACTCTGTGAAACTGGAAACAATAAAATAAATGGTACTTGAAAGTTGTACAAAATAACTGGCAGGAAAGGGGCAGTAATGCATTAACATGGAAAATGCTTGCATACATACTGATCTTCATTTAAACAATATTTTTATTTATATGCAGTTTTTTCTTAATGTTCATTTAAGGTAAATATTAAATAGGTAAAATTTACCAGAAGGTTCATGAATGAAACAATTTGTATTAATGTATGTCAGCCTTGGTTCTATTAATATTTGTTTATGATAGTCACAGCATAAAGCACAGGCAGCTATGACTTGATCTGAGAAAAATATTTATAGAGCCAATGCATTGAACAGAATGATTAAAATATAACAAACCATCTTATGTGGCTTCAGCTTCCTTTTTCCCTCCTTTTATTTAAATGCATCAGTAAGAAGTTACATTCAACCTCATTTCTTACATAAGATTTTTGAGCTGAGCAGGTGTGTGTATAAACTACAGAATTTTAGGACTTCTGTTAGCATGGGTGTCTGGTGCCTCTTAAGTCAGGGGCGCATGTTAACACCAGTCAGCAACCTTGGGGGGGGTTGTCCCCCAGCAACCAATCTCACTTGCCATGAAAGTGGCCACGCCACTTCTGGAAGTCCCATGGCCACTTCCAGAAGCGGTGTGGTCACTTTTGCTGGCGGCCCCACTCCCCGGCTGGCACTTGCAGGGGTGGGCACTGGCGCTCCCGCCTGCTCCCCTGCCGACCGGCTAAATAGGGAGCACGGCCTGGCAAGGGGTGCACCGGTGCTCTCAGGGGGTGCACGTGCACCCCTGTGCACTCCCTACGCATCACCATTGTCTGTTAGGTTTGGGAGAATGCCTCAAGTCTAAATATTTTACACACGTTTCCTCTGTTGAACTCACAGTGGGAGGGAAACATTTAATAGAAAATGAAATATGCAATTGCATTTTAAAATATATAACCTGGTTTAAATAACATTTTAATTTCACCATACAGGCTTCCATAAACAGAGCCTCATTATGCTTGTGCGTTAGTGGTTAAGTAAAAAGTAGTTCTTCAGTGTTTGCAGGCTGTATTGCAAAACTAGATATACATTACCAGAGTTGACAGCAGTATTACACTGCACATTAAACTGCTAGGAAAAAAAACAATCCATATTCTCAGCATCCTTTTTAGTGTAATGATTTAATAATAAATATTCTTTATGCTACAAGTAGGAATACACAGGTTATTACACAACATGTTTTCAGGTAATGATGTAAACTGGGGTTTACATGTCTTCTGCCATGCCATCTACCATCACCCTATGCACAGACACAAAGTGATCAAAGCCCGATTTGATGATGAATCGCAAGTAGGTAGCTTGGCAATCAGGAAACTAAGGGAAAGGAAAAAAAAAAAAAAGTATTTAGCAGTATCAGCATCATTAGCAGAAACATGTAAACTAGTAGTGCCTAACCTTTTCGGCCCGCAGACTAGATAAGCGGTGCGTGGTTTGTCCACAGGCTGGATCTGGTCTGTGGGCCTGTGTGGCGAGGCTGGAGTCAAGCAGTGCTGTTGCGCTTTTTTGTGACCACCCAACTGCCGCTTCCCCTGGTCACTTGAGCCCTTCTCCCACTCACCAGCCACACCTTGTTCGGAAAGAAGTTGGGTGGCTGCCCAAGGCCCAGACAGAACCCAGTGCACTGTCAAGCCACTCTCTTTTGAAGTCTTCAGATACCAGGCACCTTAAGGACTGTGTTCAGGGCCTCTGACCTCCCCTGCAGTCACACCCATGCCTTGCAGGTGTTACCACTAGTTATCACTGCGGAGCTATTTGCCCTACTCATGTTATGGCCCTTCAGGCCTCAGAGGCCATGTAGGAGCCTCATCCCTCTTGGCCTTGGTTCCTTTTATCTAGATGGGTTCTTGTACCTTAGGCCTGCTACCTGGGACCTTGGCTTCTGGGCCCAGCCCTCTAGGCTGCCACCAATTTGGCTTGTATATGGTCCTGGCAAGGCCTACGCTCCTGTGCCTCTCGTTCCCAATATCCCTGCCCCTCAATGGGGTTCAGAGCTCAGTGTGCCCCAAGGCACCCTACCATGTGGCCTCTTCTCCCTTTTTGTATGCCTGGTCCTCCAATCTAACTACAGTAACAGCTGCCTTAACCAGCACTTTGCAAGCCGGCATGCTCTACTAACTGGCATGCTGGCTTGTAAGGTAAAAGTGAAACCAGAAGTGCCCACCGTGGCACTTCCATTTTTGCAGAGCCCCCATGGCCTGGGGCAAAGCAGCCTGTGCTGTCAAGCCCCCACGGCCCGGGGCATAGCAGTCTGCATGGGGCCTGCTGCCCTGTCCCTTGGGGCCTGCGGGAGGGGCAGTGATGCCACAGACGTGGCAGGAAAAGTGGTGGCCCAAACAGGCAAAGACACCTGTTCCGGTTCTCAGTTAACAGGCATATTTTGTTATCCAGCACCCCCCATTCCCCATGGGTGCCAGATAACAAAGCTTTTGCTGTATAACATAAAAGCAGGCTATTGCCTTAACCAAAACCTCCCTACTCTGGGTAAGCAAGCGTCATGAAAGAAAAAGGGAAGCTGTCACTTTAATAAAACCATTCCCACTCTGGGTAACAAACATAAAGGGTAATAAACTTAGCTATTGCTTTAAACAAAGCACTTTCCTCACTCTGGGTAAATGCCAGAGCCATCCTCCCCCAAGTTCTCACCACTCTGCTTATGGTGTCCAGGTTCCTGCAAGGCTTCTTGAGCAGCCGCTCTCTCCCCCAAGCACACAGCTTCTGGCAAGGGCAGGCCTACCTCGAAGGTGTTCCCCTTATCTATCCACAGGTGCTCCTTATCTGAGACAGGTGAGTCCCCAGCTCACACAAGTGTTTGCCCTTAGGGCTAATGACCCATTAGGTCTTCTCTGGTGCTGCTTAGGTCTGCACCCTTATTTCAGCAGCCTGTTTGCTTATGCAACAGACTAATCAGCAGTGTTTTCCCCCTAACGGGAGAGCCTCTGGCTCCATTACTGCCTGATTCAGCATGTGGTACTGGCCCCACTGGGGCCTGATGCGGCCATACTGAAACAGCCTGGCCAGGATGGATGCAACTGTATGGGGCCAAAGCCAAACGCAGCCCCTCAGGATCAGCCCGGCCAAGGCCCAATGCAACTGGCTGGGAATGGCTTGGCCAGGACCCAATCCTGCACAATTTCTGACCCTGGTCAGGCTGTTTCTGCGTAGCTGGATTAGACTCCAACTTGATCCAGCCATGCAGGAAAAAGGCTCAACCCCTTTGTGCAGAGTCAGCCTGGCCAGGGCAGTTCCGATGTGTGGGGCTTGGAAATTTGGTGGTGAAGGAGCAGTGGTAGTGTTAATTGCCACCACTCCCACTGAACCAAATTTCTGGACAGAAGGGGAGACCCACAGGCCAGATAACATGGCTTTGTGGGCTGGATATGGCCTGCAGGCTCGGGATTGATAACGCCTGATGTAAACAATTAAAATGTAGCAGAAGGGTATAGAAATTTAGATGCGTCAATTTTCTACATTGCATGTATAGAAATAATAGCTATCTGGATTTTTATACTGTGGTATACAAACGCCTGCCAGGCATGATGGCAGAGTGATTAAGATGTCTTATTACAGGTCTAGAGGATGAGTCTGAGTGCTAATTAGGACTTGTGCCAAAGTCTACCCCAGATGACCCAGCTGGTCATTCAGACTGGGGAGTCAAAAGCAGTCTCCTATACCCAAGACCCTAAAAATTTAGTTTTGATTTAGTGTACTTCAATATATCTTTGTCAAACTAGTCATCCTAATGCACACACCATTAATATTGTAGGTACTCACTGAAAATTCTTCCGTTTGAAGCTCCCCTTCTGAATAATGAAGATCTAAAAAATAAATTTTACAGAAAATAAGCAAGCAAGCATATATCCAGGTCTGTCATAAGTTTCAATTGGATTTGAGAGTTCGTAGGAGCTGAAGATTTGCAAGGCTTGCAGTGGGTTTAAAAACTATTCTCAACAAGGTGATACAAGAGTTCAAATTTAATAACAAAAACTAAGATTAATTAACAAAAATTAATTTAACATTTTTAAAATGTCCTTAGGGAGATACAGAAACAACTCCCTTAACATAATGTACTATGTTCCATTATACCATTTAAATATGCTTTTGATTTTGAGTATGAAAAAACTGTAGTTGTATGACATAACCATAAAGAATGTGTTGATTTTCCATTATGCCAAGATTTTCACTTAATATCAAATGGAAGCAACATAAAACCTACAAACAATTATGCATGAAGTATCTATTCAAAAGACCAGGTCCACTGAAATTAATGGGATTGCTCCCAGAAGAAATTACTTACATAAATAACTGTGAGATTAGGTGCACGGTATACCAGGTTATACCATTTTAAAACAAAAGATGGATTCCTATTTGTTCAAACAGCAAAGACTCTAAAAGTCATCTAAACTTACATCAAATAAATACAAATTGTGAGAAACTAAAAAAAAAACCCTCTGGCCCATCCCCAAATGCCTGAGTACAAAAAAGTATCAACCTTAATATTATCCTATTGCAGGTTCTTATTCTCACAGAAAAGCTTTGACTAGAAAAGTGCTAACTATTCATTACTAAGAAGTGGTATAGCAATAGGAAGACATAATTCCAAAAGGTTTTCACATACAATTTTTACTTCATTAAAATTGATTTATTAAGTGTATCAGTAGAAATATACAATGAGAATCCTTTCCAATACATCATATTTTCTCACATTTTTTTCCAAAAAGTAGATGTTGGAAATTGGAGTGCAATTAAATGAAAGAGGTACAGAAAGAGCAGTTTCTGCCACTTACCAGGCAAAAGCCAAAGTAAGTCTGCACTGATCTATACGGAGCAATAACTGCTTCTACTCAGTTACTTAATACAAGGAAATATGTGGTTTTCTTAATTCTGCCTTTCAAAAATAAGGTGCATATCTTATTTTGGGGCACACTGTATGCAAGAAAATACAACATCACATACATTATATAAACTTGATTCTGCTAAAGATGTAGAGAGAGAGCTTTAAGTGGATCATCAGATGCATAAAGATCAACACAATTCCTAGACAATCAGAGCTATTGCATATTTGGTTACTCACCTTTTTCAACGCACTTCTCAAAATCTACTGGATCCATAGATAAGCTTTTTTCAATCCTTATAGTCTGCACTGAAATATGTTTAAAAAAATTTCAGTATAGACTTAGCATAGAAGCTGACGTTGTATCATATTACTATTTTACAAACACCATCACTTTAAATCTTCAAAGACTTTTACAAACATTAATCAATTAATCACACTATTAATCAATTAATCACACTATATCCAATATGGTAGGTAGGTAATGATCTTCTCATTACTCTCAGGAAAACTGAAAAATAAAATATAAATGATTGGTCTAAGATAAGCTAAAACTAGAGTTTCCTACTGCCTTGTCTGAAGCCCAATTTTTCTGATTACAGAAATTTGAAAAAATGTAAACAAAGGAAACAGAACATCATTCCCTTAAACTAAACATTAAAATTAATACAGAAAATTATACATAAATTATTTATGGAACTTTTGGAAGCAAATAATATATTATTAATAGTTACCATTAATAAGGTAAACAGATTGGTACATTAAGACTACATTTAGCTATGATAAAATTACAAAGGCTAAGTATCTTCAGGCCTTGGGGCATAAATAATTAGCAGCTCAAGTTTTCCTAATCCATGTATTCCATATATAAAAACCTGTATAGATAAAGGGCTTAATCTGTCTGTCTGTCTGTCCGTAACACTCTTGGGGGAGGTAGCTCCCGGTGGGGCATGGCTCCAGCCAGTGCTGCGTCAAGAATGACCATCAAGAACGACGGGTGGGGCGTGACTCCAGCGGAGTGGGCCAGGCAGAGCAGCCAGGCAGATGGGGGGGGGGGGGGGGGGGGGGGGGGGCATGCAAGCTTCCTCCCGCCCACTCCTGGGAGGCAGCAGCAGTGCAGAGTGCTGGGTGGGGGTGCTCTGTCCCCGCCTGCCCCTCGCCCCCACCCCGTCATTCTGGATGGCCAATTCACTAGTCATAACATAATGCACAATGGTCACTGGTATTGAGAGGTTTCATCTTTTTCTGATATGTCCAAAGAAGTTCATGCAAAATTTTAGAGTTAAAGGACTATAGGTTGGCTCATCTCTCAGCTTGTGAAGTAGGTATAGAATATGACACTATTGTGAACATTAAAATATTAATGTGCACTGTATTCTTACCTAAGTAACATAGAATTGTGAGTTTGCTGAATCTTACACATTTATGGAAACTGATAATGAATTCCTGAGGAAACATTCCTGTTGTCGTCCAAAACGTTTCTGAATTTCTGTTGTTAAAAAAATTACAAGTTTTATTTAAAATCTTAAGATATATTTACAAAATACTGATATCTGCAAAGTAATTTATATTTATTTGTTTTAAAAAGTCACAGCTACGGATCCAATACAACATCCATGATTGCTACATTTTCTCTTTCTCCTATGAAAGCTTTTGGTTCCTCTACTACTCTCAAGTGTGTTCTTGGTCTAATAAAAGATACCACATCTACCCAAAGAACCTTGCCTGCCTTTATCACAGAACATTTGCAAATACCTGAATCTGATTTCTCATTGGCCGCTCCATTCTAAAGTTTGAGTTTCAAGGGCCGTCATATAGAGACCGTTTAGATTCATTTTGTCAGTATTCTTTTCACAGAAAGAATCATAAAGTAGTAGGGTAGGAAGGGACCTCTGGAGGTACAACTCCCTGCTCAAGGCAGGATTTTCCCTAAACCATCCCAGTCAAATGCCTGTCATATTTGCATATTTCTTTCTTGAGACTTTTTTCCATTGCATTCCACGAAAATCACAAATATGTCTACTGCTGTGAGGTCATGCATGCCATATTTCACAGTTGACCTGCCTACTATCTAAATGGTCAGCCACAGGTTATAACTATCATGAATGTTGCAGCAGCCAGGCCTTGCAAATGCAGGTGCCTAGAACTTCTTCTAACTACGCAACATTAGGCCTGATTTTGCTAAGATTTCCACATATGTCTAATTTCATGCACTGTCCATAATCTTCTGTTAAAGTCTTAAATATGTACTATATGCAAGGAAAGAAATCCCACAAAGAGATCCGCAAGAAATAGAGAATTAAGCTACAAACTCTACTTCCAGTTACGTTTATCATTTACTGGTACTTTAAACAAAAGGGAAGTGGCAACTAAGGGCCATATAGTGTTTTCAGAATGCATGCATGGATTACCTTCAGTTAATGAACTGCACCCTACAACCTCAGACACTATTTCATAGTTGGTAGGGTCAGAAGGGACCTGAGCAGATCATCAAGTCTGCCCCCCTGCCATGGGCAGGAAAGAATGCTGGGGTCAAACGACCTCGGCTAGGTGATTATCTTAGGAGTGAGCACCACTTCCCTTGGAAGTTGGTTCTAGATACTAGCCACCCAGTTTTAAGTACTTTGAAAAAACCCTTTTCAGGAATGATTGTGTTCTGGGTGTGAACTGGGGTCACATACAGTGAAGGAGGCTAAAATTGGTAGGAAGAACGTCTATCTAATTCGTTGCAGAAGTTTGACAATTTTATTAGTGAATGAGGCAAGGGACTGCAGAAAAAGAAAAGCTGGATGATGAATGGCTAAGGCAGTTGAATGCTGCGCAGTCTCTTGTGTGATGCTGGGCAAATCACTACAACCAAACTTTTTAAAAATTGTTAGTATTTGTGTGTTTCTTATTTTCTGGGTGCCCTACTTAAGCATCCTCACACTGAGCATGCACATCTCAAATTGAAATCAGTGATAGCTATGCTTCAAATGCACCAAGTGCTATCAAATGCTAAGTATTTTGAAAAATCAGACCCTTGGGGTTTCAACCTGGGCATCCAAAATCAGAAGAGACTTTTAAACTTAATCATTCTGTGCATCTGTTCTCCACCTGTAAAATAGGGGTAATAACCTGACCTCCCTCTGCTGTTCTGAAAACAAAGCATTACTTGTGAAGCACTTGGATACTACAGCAACGAACACCACAGAAAAGCCTAGGAAAATAATAATTCTGTCTTCAGAGCAAGTTTTAAATTGTGTACAGTAAATAAAACAGAGTCCCACCCTCAGCAATGAAAGTACACACTAGCATCTCATTAAGCACTGTCTATTCCACATGCTGATTAAGGCATGGAAACGTAATTAAGCTCTACCGTCATCTCTATGCACAAAGGAGTCAAATTAAGGCTACCCAGAGAACCTTAATTCTGGAATTTTAAAGCTTTTTAATGCTTGGCTTTATCTTAATATTATTTTATTGTAATGTGTATGTGTACACGTATAATATATACAGGGGTATAGGTCGTAGCCATGTTGGTTTATTTAAACCCAAAAGCTGGCTTGCTAAGAATTTTTCCAACTACTTGAGTTGGTCTAACAAAAGGTATCAGATTTACCCAAAGAGCCTTGTCTGTATAATATACACCGTGATACAAAATCCAGTGACAAAATAAGGAATGTCTGTGACACAAAAGCAGCTGATGCAACCACTTTCACCTAGGCAGAGCTAAACAGCAACACTTACCCATCAATGATGTTTTCAGGGGGATATTTTTCATCGCTTGATGTGGCTAAAATAACTTCAGCTCCTTCAGAACTCAGACACGGGTCTGTTAACTTCATCCTGTCTCATTGATCTGCATGAGATTTAGAAACAAATCAAAGGCTGTTGGACTATCGCTGAATGGGAGAGTCACAGAGTTGCCTAGCAGCCAGTTCAGTCCCTAACAGGAATCAGTGCGGGGCGTGGGTCACACTCTCAGGAGAGACACTCGGCCTCTGCTTTCGACAGCTGGTATTTCTTGAGTTACAATCAAAACAGTCCCCACACACCGCTCTGCTGCTGGCAAATGGTTCCTCTTTCGAAACAAGCACAGCTGCTCGTAGTTCATAGCGTGCTCGTTGTAAGCGTGTTCAGAAAGGCTTTTGATGCACTTAAAGCACACACTCTTTTTAACCTATAGCTACATTTTTTTTTTTTAAATATGTCCCTGTCTCAGGCCAAATCCAATAGCCATAATTAAGCTGGCATCCTCCGTGCAAATCCCAGGCCTAAAAGCTTGAGAGTTCAGATTATGCTTGATTTACAAATATTGAAGAAAATATTTTTGAAAGCCCGAGAGTATTTACTGCAGCGCAGCCAAATCATCCACAGCCCTATTGAACAAGGCTCGGGCATTATATTACTGGAAGGTTTTCTTGCAGAAACATCTCAGCCGCCTTCCAAATTCATCGTGATGTTGTCAGACTTTGTTATTTAGTAGTTTGACTGCCATTTCCCCTTTAGTACATGGTCAGCGTCCCTGTTTCTCTCCCGTTGGCTATAATAGGCCCCGATCCTGCAAGGCAGCGTGGCGGCACGACGGCGGGAGAGATCTTTGCCAACATCGTATTATCACAGGAGCCGCAGCGCGAGAAAAGGTAGTTAAAAAACAAAGAGTATGTGGTTTGGGGCTGAACACCAGCTTGCGAAGTCCTCTGTGAAACTGGAAACAGCGGAAGACGTAGGAGTTGTACCGACGAGTGGCAGGAGCACTGCAGCACGGCACGAACGGGGGAAACACTCGCAGACAAGTGATCGCTAGTGACAAGCCATCGCCACCAGTACCGCCCCGCACGCAAGCCATCGCCACCAGTGTTTCTATCTCCGTGCCATTTTCCAAGCGTTCATCTACATGGACTGCAAAAGGTTCAAGACCGAAACACCGGGCCTTCAGCCTCGGTCGGTCCTCTCCGCACACGGCAGCCGTGGCACGGGGCGCTCGGTCCCAGGACAGCGCCGTCCTCGCGGGCAGCCCCTCGCTTTGAGGACGGCCTGTCCCAAATGTTAAACACCACCTCGGCGGCCACCCGGGCACCCTCCCCGGCTCCTGGGAGACCTTTTGTGGCGGGGCCCCCTGCTCCTCAGAGACAGTGGTTACGATTGTCACCACTTTCGGGCCCCGCGTGTGTTGGGCCCTGCCCGGGTGCGCTGCTGAGGGAGGCGGAGCCGGAGGAGGAGGAGGAGGAGGAGGAGGCCTCTTGGCCGCCATCCTCTTCCGAGGAGGAGGCCGGAGAGATGAGTAAGCCGCCGGGGGCGGCGGCGGGG